CCCCCCCCCCCCCCCCAAGAATAATGTTCACACAGGTGGAACATTCTCTCGTCTTTTTAAAATGTCAGCACACAGTTAAATAATATATTGGAAGAGAGACGCAATCCATGTCTATGTAAACAGATAAGATATAAAACAGGAGAAGATTAGGGATTGACTGCGGCAAATGAGTCAATTTGGTCTTCTCTTTGGCTTCCCATCAGAATTCTCTCCCTCCCCCGTGTGAAAACAGAATAAAGAAGCTCCTCTTGCTTCTCTTACCCCATTTCTCGTACTGTGTCCGGTGTCCCTCCCCCTTCATTTTCTCGGGAAATCTCTCTCTTCTCCTTTCCCATCTCCCAAAACCCTCTTTCTCTTTCAGCGATTCTCCTGTCCAAGCAGCGACTGGGTTCGTTGGTTTTGCATCAGAATTCTCTCTCTCTTTTCCCAGACAAATAAGTGAAAGAAACCAAAAAAAAAGTTTCGCCCTTTTGGCTCCATCGATTGATAATCTCTCCTTCACTTTCCCATCAAAATCTACTTTGGATTGTGAATCCTTTTACTCTGCTTTTTGACAAGAGGGAAAAAAATAGAGACATGAGCTGCCTCTTCTTGTTCAGGTCAAAGAAACACAAAAGCAAGGATATCCAGATGAACAATGATAACAACAGACGGAGAAGAGACTCATTACCAAGGTCAGCTCCCGAATTGACGGCGAGGAGGAACCCTTCAGATCCATCCCCTTCATTCAATCTTCCAACACCCAGATCTCTGCCTTCTCCGAGGAGTATCGGTGAGTTGTACAGAGAGAGGGAAGACAGCAACAACCTCAGGGTTTTTTCTTACAGGGAACTCAGCGACGCCACGGACGGGTTCAACCGGAAGCTGAAGATCGGAGAAGGTGGATTCGGTAGTGTTTATAGAGGCAGGCTTTTGATCGGCGGTTCTGATTCTCCACTTGTCGTCGCCATTAAGAAACTCAACCAGCGAGGCCTACAGGTACAATTCAACCCCGCTTCCGGAAAAAAAGCCCTTTTGATCCGAAATTGCTCTGAAAAATTTCGATTCCAGCTGTCCAATCATCATGAAAACACTAAACCTGAGATAGGCAGTGTTCTTACCTCGCTGATTCTTCAATAAATCCGGCTACTTCCATTCCATCTGGGTCTTTCTTTCTTTACAATATCAGTTTCATCATATGCATTATGGTCCACATCAAACAGATTCGGACAGTTAAAACTGGTAATGTCTGTATCCTCCGGTAGGGTCACAAGGAATGGCTGAGAGAGGTTGAGTTTCTGGGAGTGGTGAAGCATCCAAACGTGGTGAGACTGTTGGGATATTGCTCGGAGGATGGGGAGAGAGGGATCGAACGTCTATTGGTTTACGAGTTCATGCCTTACCGTAGCCTAGAGGACCATCTCTTCGGCCGCTCTTTGCCATGGAAACAGAGACTCGAGATCATGCATGGTGCCGCTCTAGGCCTTTCCTATTTGCATTCTGGTCTCCCCATCGAGGTTACTCTTCTTTACAATCTCCACTCATTATCAGTTCCATTGATTGATTGATGATGATCCACCAGATTCTTCTATCTTCTTATGTGAATGGTTTGGTTTCAGGTGATATACCGAGACTTCAAGTCCTCGAACGTGCTTCTGGACGAGGATTTTAGGCCTAAGTTATCGGATTTCGGCCTCGTGAGAGAAGGGCCACAGGGCGACAACACCCATGTCACTACTGCTGTCAGTATCATCATCATCACCATCTAACATATATGATTTTAACTCTTATTCATTCTTCCAATAAAACTGGAACCATATGGGAAAAACCCGGATGAGGTTAGGGCTCTTTTGGGTATTGAAAGTGGCCATTTTCATTTGGCAGAGGGTGGGAACACAAGGCTATGCGGCTCCAGAGTACGTGAGGACAGGCCATCTGAGGTCACAGAGTGACGTGTACAGCTTCGGGGTGGTGCTTTACGAGATCATCACTGGCCGCCGCACCATTGAAAGGAACAGACCCGCCGGGGAGGAGAAGCTCTTAGAGTGGGTGAGACAGTTCCCGGCGGAGAGCAGGAGGTTCAGCATGATCGTCGATCCTCGTCTTAGGAACAACTATAGGGCCGCCACGGCCAGGAGAGTGGCCAAACTGGCCGACTCGTGTCTGAACAGGAACGACAAAGAGCGTCCGTCCATGGCTTATGTGGCGGACACCCTGAAGAGCATCATCGAGGAATGCGACGGTGGAGATTCTTCCACGAGCCGCCATCTTCCGGGAGGACCAGTGCGGGGAAGTTCGAGGGGTATTAGCGTGAGAGGTTAGTTTGACCAATCGTATAATATTCCATTACTCCTATATAGTATAGGTGGTATTTTTTTATTTTATTTTTATATTGATATCAAACCCCCTCCGTTAATGTATTACTTATTATTGTAACTTTATTTTATTAGTATTTTTTCCCCTTAAAGCCCAAGGAAAAATTGATCCATGCACTCACGTATGTATATCTGGAAAGTGGGAAACAAAAGCCCAAACATGCCACCCATTTAGGGCACACATTCTCAAAATATCCAGAGGGAAAGGAAAGGCCCTTGTGGAGAAGAGATAGACTATTTTTATTAAGCAGCAGCAAAAGTTGCAGTGTCGAAAGCATAACGAGTGGGGGAGGAAGAGGCAGAAGAAGAGCTCTGTCTCATCGCTTCCATCATCTTCTTCTTCTTCCCTCTCTCCATCTTCTTCTTCTTCCCACGACTTTTGTTCTCGTCTTTTTTCTTTTTTTAATTTTCTCTCCGCATTTATTTTCGTAATTATATTAACGGGGAAAAAACGAGATGAGATCACATTCACAACCAAGACGTTATGTCGTTTGGTCTCCATTTTTACGATTTCATGTTACCCGGTCCCACCACTTTATAATAGAGAAAATGAAATGAATTTAGCTGATAAACTCGTGAAAATTATCGCTTTTAATTTATTTATGTATGAAGAATACCATTTTTTTTTTTTAATGTTACACCTGTAGAAAGTGTTTCAAAACAATTCGTGTGATTTATTAGAGTAAAACACGTCTGTTTGAATTAATCTCTTTTTTTTTAAAAAAAAATGTGTAGAGTCCGATATTTGACAACTTGATGGTAAAAATTACGGACAAACTCGTTATATTAATCTTCGGTTTATGAATATAATATCCCCAAAAAAAACTATGTGACGTCACCGTCTGTGCCATTTTTTATATTTTAATTATTTTTACCAGCTCCTTTTTTTTTCCTCCTGTCTGTCTCTCTCTAACTTTGTTCGTATCTTTTTATAGTTTGTGGGCCCAATCCCGAGACCCGGAGGATGTGGGCCCATATGTACTTTTTTTTCTTCTTCTCTGAGACGGGTTAGTTTCGTAATTTAGCAGTAAGGTTCTCCAACTAATAAGGATGCATTTTGATTATTAGTAGTAGTGAAAAAATAAATAAATACACATGTATGCCACATAACCAGCCGATTATATGAACACCCCCCGGTTGCTTTCATTTTGAGATGTTTTGCGTTGATCATGCCCTTTCAAACACACACACACATGTCAATATCCTCGTAGGGTTATACAATGGAAAATATCATGTTATTGAAAGTCCATTCGACGACAAAAGAAAAGAAAAGTCTGGTCAGGGTGATCCGTTCACACAGAGCACACGTGTGACTTGGTCGTGGGACGGCTGATGTGTCATTGCCATTCTCCTGGGCCCCCCCACCTTCACCCTTACTTTGAAAAAACGATGAAGTATACCATACTGGATTTTAATTATATTTTTTCTGATCTAGATCCATACTTGCCAAAACGGAGGAAATAAATCTTTTAAACGATCTTAATAAATCTTTTACCAAAAAAAAGAAGAAGAGGATCACCTGCTCATCGGATGGATTCCCCCTCACTTTCTTTCTTTAAATAAATAACTACAAAATTCCTTATACTTCTTCGTATCCACTTGCTTATTCGCGATTTTCCGATCGCTTTCCTCTGCATACAATTATTAAATTTTGTTATATTTTATTACAGATAATTCGAATGACACGTGTCCTGCAGCGTCGGATCTAAAATCCAAATAGCATAACACGTGTTGACGTTTAATTTGTTAGAGAATATAGTGATACCAAAATATATTTTTCTTTTCAGAAAACGATATTCAGAATGTTTCTATAATTCTATCGTTTGTTTTTTCACATGTCCACAAAATAAACGGAACATAAAATTGTCCATTATGGAGTGGTCAGGCCCATTTATGGCCCACTAGAACTCCGATTGGATCAAAACAAAGTTACTGATCTCTCGTTATTTCTAGTGATTATCTTATCTGGTAACCATTAAAATGGAATATTATTATCGGTATTGTTAAAAAACGAAGATCAAAATGGGTTGTGTAAGGACAAATAAGGGAAATCATTAAATTTGGGTATTATTGTTGTTATTGGTAGATTCTCCCAACCATCCCTGTTGAAACGCTTACTCTTGCATGGACAACAAACAGTTGGTGGAACCTCAACCAATCCCAAGGCCGTCTCTGTTATCAAGTACTAATTAATGGGTCTAAATTTATTTGATAATGAACAAGGCATAGTTAAGGTAAAAAGGATAAAATTAAAAAAATACTTGCACAAAAAACCTTACCCTTCAAATGTTTTTTATAAAAATTTTAGAGTGAAAGATTGTTTTTAAATAAGTTATATAGTTATTTTTTATTTAAAATTAATAGTTGATGATTTTTTATAATAAATTTTAAATATAAATTTTTTGGGGGGGGGGGCGTTGATATTTTTTTTTCCTGAATTTACCACTTAGATAAATGTACTAGTTTTCGTTCTAATATATTTTTGGCAAATAGGATTCTCATATTATTGTATAAGAAATTAGATTCTCGTTTTAAGATTAAAAATATCTTCCTTCTTATCTAATTTGTTATAGTCATACATATTGTTAACATTGTTCTTTTTATTTATTTGTTTTTTTTTAATCTTAAACCCGATAAATATATTTCAATCTATCGATCATAAAACTAAGATTCACTTATCTATATATCCGAATAAATGCAGCAAAACAAAGTGACAGTCATAATGTAATTTATTTATTGTGTTATTATGGATGGATCACAGGGACCGTATCCAGTGCCAGTAGACAGCTTTCGCCTTATCTACATCTGCCACGTGGCATTCATGGGGTGGACCCGACGCGAAGCTCTTTTCAATCCAAGCCGCAATACGTGTTGGGTATCCCTCATCTTATCCGGTGATCTGACGGCTCAAACTGTCTGAGCGATTCTACATAATGGTTTTATTACACAGCACCCCGATTGTTTTGATTATTTCTAATTGGTGACATTAAGTTTTTTTCACCATGTTCAATCCAAAGTTATCTAGATAAAGTCGTAATAACAAACTGTCTATTTATAAAATTAATTTATTATAAACTGGTCTAGGGCTTGTTAGACCATTAAGAATACGTTGTTATTTTTCAGGTTTGAATCGTGTATAAATTATTGAGGGATCAGATAGAGCTGAATACAATTTAGAGATGGAATAAGAAAATATAAAAAAGTACAAGGGGTAGACGAAAATTTCAAACAACGTCGTTCGTATATGTAGCAGATGTAATCATATAAAATAAAAAATCCGTTGTTCTTGAGATCGATTGATCTCAGATAGTTCATCTCCTCCATCGCGAGGGTTTTTTCTTCTTCTCCAGTTCGTCTTCCATTTTTTTTCCTCTGCTTGTTATCCTTTGCCATCGGGATTTCGAATTCTCAGCCTCGAAGTTGGCAACAGTGGCGGAATCCATGGAGCTGCCGAGTAGGTTGGCGATTCTTCCCTTCAGGAACAAGGTTCTCTTACCTGGCGCCATTATTCGAATCCGTTGTACTTCTCATAGCAGGTACAGCTTTATCAGCACTCTTATGGTTGTTTGGTTCCCTGTAGAATCCTTTCTCGCTTTGTTTGGCGGAAATTTGATGTTACGACTGGGAAAATTGTAACCGAATCTGACTGCGATCATACAATAGAAAGCTCGAGATGCGGTTGATGGGATTATCGAATTTTAAGTTCTGAATTCGTTTTCATTGGCTTTCGAGAATCTTCATAGGGTTTTCGACTGTTACTTTCAGTTAATGGTCAAGTATCAGTTCTAGCAAATTGTGATGCCGAATATGGCATTTTCCTGTACTTTTACTGAACTTTTACTATATGTAGGATGCAAACTTTCACATGTAGATGCAAATTGGGGCCATTGTACAGTTACGCCCTGTGGATAAGCTTATTAATTTTTTTTTTTAATTTGTATATCATTTCCAAACGTTAGTGTGACGCTGGTAGAGCAAGAGCTATGGCAGAAAGAAGAGAAGGGGTTAATAGGCATTCTGCCTGTTCGAGATGCTGCCGAGGGAACATCAATCAGTACAATGATTTCTCCAGGTACGGCGGGTTACTGGAGAGGATGATATGAGCATGGCTGGACGCATCAAACAATTATTTTATCGATTTATATTGCCTTGATAAGGTGTTGGGAGTGATTCTGGAGAAAACGGGATGAAACATCAAGTGGGCACAGCAGATGCTCAAAAGTCTGAAGCTAGAGATCAGCAGGACGTTGACTGGCATCACAG